AAAGAATACAGAAAATAAATTTTAGAGAGTGAAGTCTGTGAACCTGTTTTTTTTTTTTAGATTTAAGATATATTCTGATTGTCAATAAATACTTTGCACATAAATTTATCTATTCCCAAGCTATTGTCAACTCTAATGATGCTTAATTCAAAAAAAGGTGGAGGGATTGATGAAATGAAATTTTGGATTGTAGTTGGGTTAATAATAGACTCTTCACTTTATTTAAAGCTTATAGCCTCAAAAAAAGATTAAGCGTATGTAGAAAAAATTTATTTGAAAAACCCCTTATGTGGATGATAGGATTGTTAATGATTACATCAGATGGATTTAGGTAAAAGGTAATTAATGCAGTGTTAAGAATAATATCAGACTCCTTTCAAAATAGTTTGAGTCGTCCCCATTTGTCCAAGTTAATTTTGTCAAGACTGTAAGCAACACTGGTTTTTATAATGTAATGTTTTGATCTGATTCCATTTAGCCAAAGCAACACAACTTTATTTATAAAGCACATTTCATTAGCAAGTCTTCACAAATTTTTGTGAATTTAAATAAAGGACCATAATAGAAACACAATAAGGGGGATAGTGCATCATGGTGGCATAAAGGTAATTCAATAATCAATTAAAATGAATAACGTGTATAAATACTAATTTTGTTTACCATAAAGAAATACTTTAAAGTTTAAAAATCAAATTTTAGAGTTTTTTTTAGCCAATTTTTCCCATTTCCTCAAAGTGGCACTCAACCAAAATACATTTTTTTTGTAGGTAAACGGTGTAAACTGGACCATTAGAGTGCTATTCTGAATTTACTGTTTTTTTTATTATTATTATTATTTGTAAGGGCGTTAAATGCTGTCTTCTTCAGCTGAATGGTGGTCAATTCTGATTAATTTTCTTTACTTTTCATATGTAAACTAAGGTTATCACAGCTCTGCAGTCAGGCATACAACAATAAACATAATCCCATAGGGATTATTTGGAATCATGAGTATTGATATATATATGAATTACGTCGTCAAGTTGGGTGGAGGTTAGAAGGACCCAAGTGCAGGGACTGAAGCTGAGGTGGTTTTCTTGCAGGTTGGTAAAGCTGGTGACTGAAGCAGAATCCAAACTAACAAAATCCACAAAGTCCAAAAATACTTAAATCCAGAAACTTACATGAAGGGTAAATAAATGATGACAAACCAGCAAACAGTGACTGAGCAGGAGGCGTATATATGGGATATAGAAATAAAGACCAGGCTAATCAGCAGGTTGGGAACAAGTGTGGACAGAGGAGGCTAGAAAGGAGCTAGGGAAAAAGAGACTGGCAACAGAGGGCAAACATGAAATACCTGAGAACTTAAATACAACAAAATATAACTAGAATAACACCAAAATGGAAATAAAACCAATTAAAACTCAAAGATACAACTTAAGCAGCACCAAAACCACAACAATAATACATTCCAAGTTCACTTGAATTATTGTTGCCATGTATCATATTGTTATATTAGGAGGACAGCTACAGGTTAGCATAGGACATTTAGCTTTAGCATAAGGAAAACGTTGTCTTTGGTTCTTGTATAGTAAGCATGTGTGTTAGATATTGGGCATTAAATGGATACATGGCTGTTGAGTGATAGGTTGTCAAAGTACTACCACATGACAAAGTGTTTGAAATCAGAAGTACAGGTTAAGTAGAGCTTAGATGGCTTTATAGTAAGGTTAGGTACAGCGCTTTAAGTGAGAAGGTATCCAATGGTACGCTTCTTATTTTTCATCTTAGAATACTTTTTTCCAGAGTGCACAGCATACCAGGAACTATATCCCCGACCCACCCGCTACTCTCTTCGACCTCTCCAGCATTAACAGCTTGTACATGATTTGTTTGACTATATCAAAAAATGTACTCAAAAGAAACCAATTGCTTTGGTACAAACTATTTGTGTTAGGTAATCATTTTAGATTCAAGGGCATAAATATGTTCCAGTGCGGCAAATATGTTTTTGGTCAATTAACTTTTGGTCAAATAACTTTCAGACTGTTATTTGATGTTCTGTGAACACCGACTAAACAGACGCTGCCAGAATGCTCAGGCAATCAGAACTCAATTACGCTAAAAAAAGCTCTGACACCAAAGACTCAAGAATAATCTGGTCCTGATGACTGGGAGCAAGCAGCTTAAATAGAAGACTTGATCTTTACGGGTCCACCTCAGTGAGTGAGACTTTGGAGAAGAACTTTGTAACCAGGCTGAAGATATCTCCCTTTAATTCTTCTGTCGTAGTATGCCTTTCCACGAGAAGCTTCCTTGATGGCTGCTTCAGAAGCTACTGTGTAGGCCTCCTGCATTCTTCTTTTCCAGCTGCTGATATACTCAATATAGTCAATATGAACCTCATCCTTTCTCATATTGAAGAGCAGGTCAATCGGTCTCTGCCAAGTGACGTCAGTTGTTTACCTCGGGC